ATATGTGCCTAGTTGTGAGATATAGGTTTTTTTCTTGAAATTTCAGTGTAAGTGGATCATTCAGTGTGCTGATTCCAGAGGCTACCTACACATTCTATTGATCACTGCAGAAATAGGGTGGGTATAGTTTAAGAGCTCATTCTGCACGAATCTGTGTAAAACTGGGCTTTTCTCGGCGAAGTATGACGGGCCCCAAAATGCAGGAAGACAAAGGAGAATGTTTGGAAATCGCATGAGAAGCACATATCGTGGAATGCCGCGCGTGCTGTGCAATGTACAATACCACCCACAGAACGGGAATTTCGCGAAATTCCAGAAATTTCACGATTTCGGAATATCGCAAATTATGCAGCGCCATAACTTCCTACGGGATGAATATATTCTAAAGCAGCATTGTGTTCAGCTCGTCAAGGCGAATCTTTCGACATACTTAATGTCATCTATATCTCGTTTCTTTTCTCAAATTTTTCTGAGGAGGTCCCTTCGCAAGTATGTAACGCAGCGCCTATCCAACATAAAAGATTCCATTAAGTACCATTCGATAGTGCTCTTCTTGTACATTATAGTGCGCTAGAAAGCTGCCGCAGAATTCTTTCCAAAAGAGAAAGAAGCGTTGGTAAATTCTGGAAAAATCACTCGTTTTCAGATTCTACTCGCCGTAACTTTCTTTGGAGTGGAAATTTTCTGAATCCGAAAAAAGCATTGTGCTCAGTTCGTCAAGGCGAATCTTTCGGTGTGCAGAATGTCCTTGATATCTCGATTTCAGTATTCTTGAAACTTTCTGCGGACGCGTCTTCGCAAAGGTGTAAAGCAGCGCGTATTGCCCCCAGTAGATTCAGAAAGAATTCTTCGATAGTACTTCTTCTGTAAATTATGGGGCGCTAAGAATTAGCCGCACACTTCTTTCCAAAGGAGATAAAAGGCTGGCGAATTCTGGAAAATTCATGTCGTTCTAAGTTTTTCTCACCGTAACTCTAAAATATGAAGCTCTCTTGCTAAGCAGATGTGATTTTCGTAATCAGCAGGTCGAATAATCCTTATGAGCAAGTTTTCCGAGATGTTCGGGTAATTTCATTTTTTTCTCGTTTTACGCTCTGAAACTGGCCGATGGATTTGGTCAAAATGTTCATGCTCTTAAATTGTAAGGAAACTTCGTTTATAGAGGTTTTCAGACACACTCTTTACGAAAACCGTGGTATTTGAGTAATACATGGTCTTTCTGCATAGATATGGTGAGGTAACCGTAACGGAGTCACGAAAGTGCGTAACTTTGCCCGCACTTCTCGCGTATCTGTCAGAGAACTTGCCCGCTTGCGTCTAGAGATTAAATTCACTGGGAACTGTGCCATCGAATGGTGCATGCCTTAGACTCCACTCTACAGAAATCGCCGAGTTACGAGCCTACGAAAACACATCCTCATGAGTTTTGCCCAAAATGTAAAGATCGCATATTTCGTCGAAATTTCACCGTGAATGCTTGTATGACACTCGCATTGCGGACATTGTGTTCGCTTCACCCAAAAACTCCCACTGTATTGAATATGGCGCTTGCGTGTGCTTCAGCTGCTCAGTTGAATATCAAAGCTATTTCGGTGGGTAGAACTCAAACTATCAAATCTAACACAATAAGAATCATTAACGATGTGAAAAGATTTGATCAACGTGTTGCATAAGCACTCATGGTGGAATTTCGACGAAATATGCGATCTTTACATTTTGGGCAAAACTCATGAGGATGTGTTTTCGTAGGCTCGTAACTCGGCGATTTCTGTAGAGTGGAGTCTGAGGCATGCACCATTCGATGGCACAGTTCCCAGTGAATTTAATCTCTCGACGCAAGCGGGCAAGTTCCCTGACAGATACGCGAGAAGTGCGGGCAAAGTTACGCACTTTCGTGACTCCGTTACGGTTACCTCACCATATCTATGCAGAAAAACCATGTATTACTCAAATACCACGGTTTTCGTAAAGAGTGTGTCTGAAAACCTCTATAAACGAAGTTTCCTTACAATTTAAGAGCATGAACATTTTGACCAAATCCATCGGCCAGTTTCAGATCGTAAAACGAGAAAAAAATGAAATTACCCGAACATCTCGGAAAACTTGCTCATAAGGATTATTCGACCTGCTGATTACGAAAATCACATCTGCTTAGCAAGAGAGCTTTATATTTTAGAGTTACGGTGAGAAAAACTTAGAACGACATGAATTTTCCAGAATTCGCCAGCCTTTTCTCCTTTGGAAAGAAGTGTGCGGCTAATTCTTAGCGCCCCATAATTTACAGAAGAAGTATTATCGAAGAATTCTTTCTGAATCTACTGGGGGCAATACGCGCTGCTTTACACCTTTGCGAAGACGCGTCCGCAGAAAGTTTCAAGAATACTGAAATCGAGATATCAAGGACATTCTGCACACCGAAAGATTCGCCTTGACGAACTGAGCACAATGCTTTTTTCGGATTCAGAAAATTTCCACTCCAAAGAAAGTTACGGCGAGTAGAATCTGGAAACGAGTGATTTTTCCAGAATTTACCAACGCTTCTTTCTCTTTTGGAAAGAATTCTGCGGCAGCTTTTTAGCGCACTATAATGTACAAGAAGAGCACTATCGAATGGTACTTACTGGAATCTTTTATGTTGGATAGGCGCTGCGTTACATACTTGCGAAGGGACCTCCTCAGAAAAATTTGAGAAAAGAAACGAGATATAGATGACATTAAGTATGTCGAAAGATTCGCCTTGACGAGCTGAACACAATGCTGCTTTAGAATATATTCATCCCGTAGGAAGTTATGGCGCTGCATAATTTGCGATATTCCGAAATCGTGAAATTTTTGGAATTTCGCGAAATTCCCGTTCTGTGGGTGGTATTGTACATTGCACAGCACGCGCGGCATTCCACGATATGTGCTTCTCATGCGATTTCCAAACATTCTCCTTTGTCTTCCTGCATTTTGGGACCCGTCATACTTCGCCGAGAAAAGCCCAGTTTTACACAGATTCGTGCAGAATGAGCTCTTAAACTATACCCACCCTATTTCTGCAGTGATCAATAGAATGTGTAGGTAGCCTCTGGAATCAGCACACTGAATGATCCACTTACACTGAAATTTCAAGAAAAAAACCTATATCTCACAACTAGGCACATATGTATACTGGAAGATGCGCCTCGCTGAGCTGAGTTGAATGGTACTCTTATATATAGAAATCATAAATTTTGAATCAAGATAAGGTCTTTTTTATAAAAAAGTTAGGCGTTGCGCGACAAAGTGAGGCGGCAAGTGCCGCTTTTCCTCCTAACTTTGTCGCGCGACGCGGCGCTTGCCACCTAATTGCGGCGCCGCCGCGTGAGTTAATTGCCGCCGCCAATTTTTTTCACAAATTACGGGTGGTATTGTATCATATAGCGAAGAGAGCAAATCAAACCACTGCTTCTCTTTTTTGAGCCAAAAAATTGTAAACCAAAGCACTGGTAAATATCGCGCTCCAATCACATGCGGTGTCCTTTGAACTATGTGGCGAAAAATGCATCGCCAGATTGTTGAGGTCACAGATTTGGTTGGCCTAAGAGGTTTTCAACGATATGAACACTAAAATGGCACTATACTCAAGAATTGAATCGACTCAGAATGTTTTTTTGCTTTTTTGTTATATTAGGTACCTCAAAACTCGGGTTTTTCGCTTTTTCATAGTTACGTTTTGTTATGCTGATTGAATAAGGGTTTCTCTATTGACTTTTACATCAAAAGGGACTTTTTTTTCAAATTTTCGCAAATTCATGGGGGACTTCGCTTTCAAAAATGCTCCAAATCAACGCGTGCCGGGCCCTGTGGCCGAGCACGCACCCGCGAACTTCCAGATGCAGTTGTCCGAGTGGATTGTTGAAAAAAACTGACAATTTTCGTTTTTGATTTTTTCTCTTCTCACAAGTTTTCTTTCCCCAAACCCGTTCTACCTTCTTTTGTCCTGCTGGCGGCTACAAGGTAGGTAACTTATCATTTATGACAAACTGTTGAGAGAGTTATGATTTGTAGAAAACAAGGTTTTAGTAGAATTTTTGCAGCATTTTTGTTTTTCAGTCCATATTTTTCCACCCGTTCGTGATTTGAGCACTGTGAACCTGCGATGTATTGTAAATCAGAAGCGGTTTTCCGCTTCTGATGGTCTTGATCGCATTCGGAAATGTAGCTTCCCCAAAAACTTATAGCGCGTCAAAGTTAGAATTTGCGAAACGGCCATTATTTTTTTCATCAACCTAATAACATGTAGAAATATAAGGTATGCTAACGACGCATAGGTAGCGCCAGGGCCCGGCACGAGTCCGTTTCTAGCCTTTTGAAAAACGAAGTCCACCTGACTTTCGGGAGTTTTACGAAGTCCCCTTTGACCCTTGCCCTACCCCTCCCCCCACCCTCCGACTGTGTGGTGAAAATTAAAGAAAAGTATACACAAAAAAACTTTATTCAGGGCACCAATTTCTCCAAAAAACAACTCTCAATGCCTTATGAAAGCCATAAAAAATAAGTGTTCTTAATGAAACAAATGGGAAGTTAGAATATAATTGCCATACAATTGATGGCGATAACTGTGCTGACTAGCGTTCAAACACTGTCGGCGATTGTTCGTTGCAGCTGTATCAATATACGAAAGTGTCGATGATCAATCCAATTGTGAAAGCAATGCAAGAGTGAATACAAGGATTTCACTGACGGGGAAATGATCCAGGAGACTGCAGAATTGGCTAGGCATGTAGTGATTTTGGAAGAAACATGAAAATATCTGATGATCGGTAAAACGATATTACTTTTTACGGTAGTGGAGCGACACAAAAGAAGACCATGGCAATGGTTTCACAGGCCCAATTTGATGACACACATAATACTACTGAACATGCCAAAAATGACATACCGTATCGCATTCACTAAACGGTACTGCAGGAGTCTCGAAATAAGGCCGCTCCCGGGGAGTTGCACTTGGTTTGGGAGTAGCTTCAAGTGTATCTTCAAAAGAGCGCCTCAGTTGAATCAATAGAAATTCTGGGCGTTTCAGTGATCTCTGCCTTAAAAAATCAGCGATCAATGCCGAAAAGTTGAAAAGAACATTAGAAAGCGCACCTTCTGGACGATATGTTTGAAACAATTCACTTCGGCGAGGCTTTCTCCGAGCAGACTTTGCACGCTGAAAAGTCTAGATCAGTAAAGTTCTGAATACCCCAAAAAATTGGAACATTCAGTCACGATGCAATTTATACTTACTGGAGTTTCGCTCTCTTGCGGTAGAGAATTTTCGTCTTTCTGTACAAAAGGTTCTTTGACCAGGGGTGGAAACTCAACTACTGAATTGAGGACTGTCTATGTAAGAAAGCGTAACCTTTTTTAGAGAAAAAAAAAACACGTACCACCATTTAGACGTGGCTGGCCGTCGGTAAATAAAGAGCTGCGTTTGGTGCGGGCAATATTTTCTTTTGCCTGGTTGGAAGTACCATTTATATGCACCCTGGAATGCTGAGCAATGTCGAAAGTCATACTAGTTTGATTGAAAAATAAGCAGACCCAAACTCTTCAAATGACTTTCGCAGGTTCAAAGCAGCACTTTCTAGATGTGATATATTCTTGAGCCAATATGATTGAGATGATGCATTTCGCTCTGCAAATCAGACTGTTGTCATAGAGGTTTGGTGACCAAGCAGTAGTTGTGTGTGAAAATAATAAACGCTTTCGAATAAAAAAATGAGATTTTGACCACTAAGGTCCCTTAGTTGAGATTCTCAGCCTAGTCGCATTTTCAAAGGACAAAGCATCGATCGAAGAATCTTCCTCTCTACAATATGAGCGCGGCCTCAATCTGAAGTGGTGCAAAACCAACCAACGTCATTAGTCATCACATAACATCGATAGTCTGACAAACAGAAAGCATGGAGGGATTGAAAGAGGGTGGAAGAGGTCTTTTTTTGTTTGATGAGGAAATGAAAGAAGGCGAAGGTGAAATGTGGTAGGAAAATGTGAAAATAGTCCAAGTACCTTTCCGCTGCTCCACAAGCATTTCAATTCTTTCATTTCCTTCCAAACGCTCAACATCGTACAGTTTTCGTTTTAATGATGCATTTTCAGTGCGGAGCTCCTCAATGCATTTACGACTACGAGCCAGCTCCGCCTAAATAGATTGGAAATTTTCCTTAGAACTAATCTGGTCAACTGGTGATTTACGAATAATTAAGCTGAGACTTCGATTACAAGCACTTTCAATGACAAAATAAAGGCAAAATCCCCAAATCTCGGAGTATGACTTCGACTTCAATAAAAACCAGAGAAGGGTACGTGATCGCTAGCCTATAAAGCAGACAGACTATAATCTATGGTGCTGCATTATAACGGCCATCAAAGAACACACCATGAAAATACGTCTCTCGTCCTTTGCCCGTACCTCTTACTTCAAAAATAAATATTTGAAATAAGCATGGGAACATCAGCTTTGGTTGTAAATATTGATAAAATGACACTCAATGGAAAAGTGTTTTTTAACATCGCTTGCTCATCAGTGAGCTCTTCCCAACGAAACTAATTACAGTCGCAAAAACCCTCAGTAAAAATGTGCTAATTTGCATGTGATGCGTAATCTTCCCATGACGCACTAATGCCATTACTACACGTGGAGCATAAGACATCTGTATGGCATTAGACCTAGTTTTTAATTGATTGCACTGGCACAAACCAATCTATCCACACAATCAACTTTTTTGAACCAGCTACCACAAAATCAAGACTCAAATCAATGTAATGATGAGCTGTCAAACCCAACAATGTTTTTCCACTGTTCTAAGGATGATCCGCCCAAAAGTCAACGGTCAGTCAAATAACTCGAAAACTTGAAGGGGAACTTCGACAACACAAAAACAAACCTTATAGGTACATCCTAGCAAGATCATCGTCCTTGTTTGCTTCAAGTAGGGCGTCAAGTTCCAGTTGCGCTTCAATCAATACCTGCAAAGCATAAATAAGGAAAAGAAAAAACTTGAAACAAACCCACCATCAGAATCCCTTCGTCCTTCTGGAAGATCAGACGAGCTGCACCGCTTTCCAGCACATCATTGAAGATTCCTCTTTTTGGCATCCTTCTGACACGCATATTAGAAAACGGAATGATTATACGGACACGTAGTATACACACGACTATAGAATTCTCGGACAAATATCGAATACAACAACAGAAGAATGAAACGCTCAATGCTTGCAGCAAAGCGACCACGCGATCGAAATTTTGCTCGGAGCAACGCGGGATTGGCGGTGGAGCGCTATATCTAACGTGGCGATTTTTGGAAAAAAAAGATGATAAAAAACGACGGACAGGGGGTAAAATGAAAATGTTTCCATGCTCAGGGATAGATTTTTGACTGGGGAATCCGGGGTGGAGGACATTAGGTCGCCGAATTTGGAAGAGTCCCGCGCGGATTCCCTGCAGGAACGCATGTCCGCGCATGTACAAAGGTGCGTATTTGTCGCAAATGACCGCGGGGACCGCCCTCTTTCGGCGACCTAATGTCCTCCACCCGGGAATCCGTCCATGCTGGAAAGATCCGAAACTTATGTGAAGTGACGAAAATATATGCTTCAGACGATCTCAGATCGTCTGGTGGCCGTCTGGAGACGATCTAATTTTGGAAAACATATTTCTTCACATAAGTTTTCAAATCCTCTTACATAATTCTTCCGGAAATAATTTTCTATACACACAGTTCAATTTTGATGTCATAAACTTCTGTGTGCGCTGTAAACAGGCAATTTGTTGATTTTAGCCCTGCTTTTAAATCGCGCACTTTTCGCCATACACGATAGAGCATGTCAATCGTGTGATAATCTGTCCAAAAAGCTTTTGTTCGTCTGGATGGTCGTTTATCGTTCACGTTTGTTTTCGTTTTCGTTCGTTTGTCGTTCGTTCACGTTTTTCATCAAGTTTTCCTTGTGTGTCAATGTCAATATCACTATATACCCCGCAAAAACAATATTCCCTTTGCTTTTTGCTCCAAAAACGAAGTCCAGCCTGCTTCTAGACGACCTGTGTCGGGCCCTGGGTAGCGCAGGGCCAGTGTCAGAGGTCAGCGCAATAATTATGGTAGGTACGATTTCCATGCGGTGCAGCCTTTTGCAATCTGCTAGCTAGTTGAGGTTTCATACAGACGAACGTGAATCAGGAATATCTCAACATTTATTGTTTAGTTTCTCAAATATGGACTATAATATCTTATAATAAAGCTGAATGTCTGTTTGTCTGCATGTCTGTATGTCTATAAGTCTGTATGTGTGTACGTATGTTCCGAAAGAGAAAGTTTCAAATATGGACTATAATATCTTATAATAAAACCTTTCTGAACCGATTTGGACCAAACTTTGCACAATTACACTTCGGGGCCGTGCGGGTGTCATACGCTACTTCATACGTGCGGGTGTCACACGCTACTCGTCATCGATCGTTATCGATTTTATCGATTTTTATCGATTTTTTGTAAATTTTGACCTGCGGGCTGGGAGTTGGAACGGGGGGGGGGGTAATTGAGCATGCTGACTACGAATACAATAGTAGTTTACAAAATCGTCCGTTACTTTTATCGATTTTCATCGATTTTTTGTAAAGTTTGGCCTGCCAGGCTGGGAGTTGGCACAGGGGGGGGGGGTAATCAAGCATGCTAATACGAATACAGTATTAGTTCCTAAATTTATCCGTTGCTTTTTTCGATTTTATCGATTTTCTTTTTGTAAATTTTGAGCCGCGGGGCTGGGATTTCGCACAGAGATAAGTGAGCATGCTGATAATTAACACAGCAGGATTAGGGAGTTGGAGTTGGTTTGCAGAAGTGGACGCAGGGAAAGGCTGTACAAGGATAGGGTGGGAGCTTTATCATATATTTTGACAGTGCCGGGCGGAGCAGTAAACCAGCTAGTTAGTAATAAAGCCAGACGGCCCCTTTTCTTACAAAAAAAGGGAAACGAGAGGTGCACGGCGAACAAATACAAGTCAACAAAAATATGTGGTCAAATCTGCTAAGATCAAAAACGATTGAGAATTTTAGGAATTTTGGCCCAAGAAGAGATTCGCTGCGCAAGTGAGATGCATCGCGAGCCTGCATCAGCAAAAATACTTAGAAAAAAGGGGCACATCGCTCGGACAGTTGGGTACTTATCAGCTGTTGATATTGATTGCGTTGACGTGCGTTACGTGTGTACATGTGCGACCTATTACGAACTTGGCGCCGTCGCGCTCTAGTCTCGCGCTATGCCTCTGGGTTTCCACTTGGACAAAGTATTTCGCCCTCAAGTTCATCACGACAATGTGTCGCGGTGAGACTCGATGTGGCAGAGGTGCCATTGTGGTTTGATTGCCCAAGTTTGGGAACCTTCTCCCATCGGAAGGTACCCACGGGCTGTGCTGTCCCTCACAAAGGACCGTGCGGCCCCCAATAATCTAGCACAATTTCGCGGAAAATCCGCGAGAATGCGGCCACTACGCAACAACTAATCTATGAAAAAATCGCAATTGTTGTCCTAGCATTCATCTAAAACTTGGCCAACATTCTTCCAAATTTCTTCGAGCGGACCGCAAAAAATCATCGAACTATTTTTCCGGTGCCCGCTTGCTCAAAATTCGCATGGCCGGCTGCCCCCGGCGATTATCTGAGCGGCAGCAATGATGAAGGATAGTCGCCGTTCCTGCCTCAGTTCAAGAAAGTCACGACGGGCTGAGCCTTAAAGGCACCGTCCACTCAAATTCTCGACTTCCATTTTTTGTCGCTTCCAGGCCTTCTGAAGGCCCTGATTTCGAATATGAAGTCGGGAATCCCAAAAATCCCTATTTTGGAGAAAGCGGGACGGGTGAAAGTGCAGTTTGCAGGGTTGCGGCGCGGTTATCGCCCGGCGTATATCAGTGCCGCAGCCCCCAAAGCTGCAAAATGGGCGGAGTGGCCACCTTTGGATCACGTACCACGTACCTTCCAGAGCGGATTTCTCGCTCCGGAAGCAATCATTTGCGGGGAAACTTGCTCAGATAACCGCCGGGGGCAGGCGGCCATGCGAATTTTGAGCAAGCGCGCACCGGAAAAATAGTTCGTTGATTTTTTGCGGCCCGCTTGCAGAAATTTGGAAGAAAGTTGGCGAAATTAAAGACGAATGCTTGAAGAACAATCGCGGTTTCTTTATGGATTAGCTGCGGCGCAGTGGCCGCATTCTCGCGGACTTTCCGCGAGAATATGCAAAAATTTCGAGGGCCGCACGGTCCTTTGTGGAGGACCGCGCAACCCCCAGGTACTTTCCGCTGAGAGAAAGTACCTCAAACTTGAGTAATTAAACCAACGGTGACACCTCTGCTACACAGAGTCTTACCTGCGCTCGACGTACGCCCGAAAATGCCTAAAAAGAGTCCGAGTGCTTGCTGAAAGTTTGGCCAGCGCTCGTGAAAGAAATTATTTGCCGAGCGCTTGCAAAAAATATTGTATTGCTGCCCGCTGGCAGAATATGCGACCGTAAAGGAAGTGCCGCCCGCTGAAGGTTTGGCAACGCCCCAAAATTCTGCTGACCGCCTGCAGAAAAGCGCGAGTTTGCGGACCGCCTGCCCCCAGCGATTATCTGAGTTGGGGGTTGGCCTAGTGTGGGGGCCCACATTAGTATGCCATTGAATCTCGTGAACCCTCACTTTGAGTGGACGGTGCCTTTAAGCCCTGGTCATATGTGCAGCGATTTTATCATCGCGATTACGTCGCCGGGGAATTTCTCAGATAATCGCCGAGGACAGGCTGTCCGCAAACTCGCGCTCTTCTGCAAGCGGTCAGCAGGTTTTTGGGGCGTGGTCAAACCTTCAGCGAGCGGTACTTCCTTTACTGTCTAATGTTCTGCCAGCGGGCAGCAAAACAGAATTTTCTGCAGGCGCTCGTAAATAATCTCTTTCAGCAAACGCTGGCCGAACTATCAGCAGGCACTTGGACCCTTTTTACGCAGTTTCGTACATACGTTGAGCACAGGTAAGACTCTGTGTGGCAGAGTTGTCACCGTTGGTCTAATTACTCAATTGAGGTTTCAGCGGAAAGTACCTGGGGTTGCGCGGTCCTCCACAAAGGACCGTGCGGCCCTCGAAAATTTTGCATTTTCTCGCGGAAAGTCCGCAAAAATGCGGCCAGTGCGCCGCAGTTAATCTATAAGGAAACCGCGACTGTTCTCCAAGCATTCGTCCAAAATTTCGCCAAAACTCTCACAAATATCTCCAAGCGGACCGCAAGAAATCAGCGAACTATTTTTCCGGTGCGCGCTTGCTCAAAATTCGCATGGCCGCCTGCCCCCGGCGATTATCTGAGAAGGCGACAGAATCGAGATCATAGAACTGCTGGTCGCGGTTCTGGACATACCTACCTGCTCAGTGGTAAGGTGAAAGTACACACATCAGCACTCGTTATACGTTTTCTTTCGGCGTGCAAAAGCAGTACTCAGCGTAAATTTTTCTTTACCTTTGCAAATTCCTTTGTCTTTTCCGGCACCAATACGTTCAACATTAACAATTCGCATTAGTTTCTCGCGCATATTCATCTTCGTTCAACTTTTCTCGTTAGATACAGGATGCAAAAGCAATTTTCTCAAGCTGTAGTTCTCATTTACGTTGCTAATTTTTTGCGATACTCAGACATCGCGCAATAATACGCGTGTTACTCAATTAGGAGTTTCGACCAGCTAAAAATATTCATCTTGACTGGTATGGTACGAATTAGAAGGAACGCACATTACATCACGACAGAAGTGCAATCGCAAAGTGCAATAGGAAATCTGCATTACATTTCATCTGCGCAAAAAAACAAGTCGAAAAAGAAAAAATGTGTTTCAAAAATTTCAAAAAAGAAATTCATTTCTAGCGAAATATATTTGCCCGTCTCTGATTTTGAGCTGGCTTTGCGATATCGCAAGATATTGGCCTAATCGCAGCAATATCGCTGGAGTAGGTGTGGCCGGCCTGGAAGCACGGTCAGCGATCTCTCGCGCCAGGCAGCTAGCACGACCGACATGCATGATTTGCATGAAGTTTTCCTGTTCCACGAATCGCATCGCGATGATTTTTTTGTTGGTATGGCCAGGGCTTTGAATCG